AAGCTTTTAAAGGTCATCTCATCGTCATCACCATTTCAAGCCTTTTTTAACCAATTTGGTGTGGGCCTCTTTCAAATCTTTCCATTTAGTTCTATTTTGGACTGTTAGTATCCAATTTTGTGCCACTACCTCCTTGATATCATCTTTATATCTCATCTACGGTTTATCAATAGGTCGTTTATGTTCCCATAGTGTCCACTCCAGCAGACCCTTGCACCACAAGTTGTGTATGCGGGCTACATGTCCCATACATTTTAAATCATAATCATTTTAAAGGTTTTACTATGAAAAGAAACTTATTTGTGCGAGTAAGAGTTTAAAAGATCTTTGTGTTACAGAAAGTGGTCGTAGTAGACTATGGGAAGACGTCATTTATAGTATTTGGCTATATATTAGTCATGATGACACCTTTGTTCGCTGGACAGTCGTTCAATAGTCAGGGGCTAAAGTATCACCGAATGCTAGCTCGACTTTACAATACACTCACTATTGGTAAGAATGTACTGAATATCTGATATCTTCCGTAATATTACGTAAACGTATTTTTATAATAGATAAACATCGTTTGAGGATATTCCATAAGGTGCAACAGCTATTTTTGTGGGGCAAGCCGATAAACCAACTGACAGATCACCCGATTGTAAGCAATCGGCGCGGCCATAGGTACCCGAAACACTAGATGAGTTACAAGTGCGTTACCGGACATTTGAGGATTAGGGAGTTGAGGACGGTTGGAGATTTAGGAATTTGGGAGATTGGAGAGAGGGGTAATTGGGCCTCCGGTAACCTCACGCACGTGTTGTTTCGCGACAGTTTTCTGTGAGGGCGTGGTACTCCGGTGGTCGAGTAGACCCATTCGTGCATGGCTCTCCCACACTTTAAATGGACTTCCAAAACGGTCAGTCGTCCCGTGACCACGTTTGGTAGGTCCAGGCGCAGTGGTGTTCCTAACAGTGAAGTTTAAAATAATCGCAAGTGCTGAAAAGATACAAGACGATTTAACTAAAGTAAGTTCAGATTTCATAATTGTCGATATTGTTTCAGACAAAGCTGAAGCTGAGAGTAAACTGATAAAAGACTTCCTTCGTCTACTGAAGAAGAATCCAATACGAGTCCAGTTAATCTGTGGCGTTCCTGTAGGATTGTGCTTGCTACCTATCACATTGTCCCTCTTTATAAATTACGTCATTATTTTGTTACAGTTCAATCATATTATCTAATTTATTGTTGTATTCAACTGTTCTGTGATTATTAAAACGGACACGGTCATAGGTGACCAAATTTTTTTTAATTCCGTGGTCCGTGTGCCGTCTTTAAACTAAAAGTAGACGAATTGGTTCTGAATAAAATATTGTTACTATATACCAGGGTTGTTGCTGATGCAGGATTTTGTCACATCAGCGGATGCTGATGCTGATGCTGATTTATTGTAATTTACATCAGCTGATGCTGATGCTGATGCTGATTTTAAGTTTTTTTTATACCTACTCAATTTTATACATTTTTAGGTACCTAAATATTATATTTTCATCGACCTACTTTTAATAAAAGATTTATTTTAATAATTCTATAACTTTTTAATGAAGAAAAACAATCAACAAATACGTAAAAACTAGTTAAGTAATAAATTACCTATTATTAATACTGAAATTCTATTAATGTCAAGTTGTATTTTAAAAACAAGAACTGAGCTGCTTTTTCAGCTTGCAGTCTGTTGCAGGTAGGTTTGTATAATGCCGGCACTGCTGAATAACTGTTTGCTAGTCAGGCGGAGGTGACAGGATTTTTTTTTTTTTTAAGGGGGGAATATCATCGAATGGCTGCTCCTGCCTGGGTGAGGCGGGAGGGAGTGTCAGACTCTTACTGACTAAAAACCACCCCGTTCCTTCTCCTGCACGTCGAGCCGGAGCCTCGGTTACCCGTTAGGTTTTCTGCGACAAGGTGACAGGATAGGTACTGCACTTTGCTTGCAATGCTTACAATATTGATTGACGAAATGTTATGAAATATATGTATTTTGTTGAGCCAAAACTGGGAAGCGACAGCAGCACGTGCCATTAACTCCGCCCCCTGCCGGTCATGTCGCCATACGAACTTTGAACATCAGCATCTAACATCAGCAACAATTAATGCGGATGCTGATGCTGATGCTGATGTGTACAATAATGCTGATATTCCGCTGATGCTGACGCTGATGCTGATATTTGCAACAACCCTGCTATATACATTCTGCACAATAAAAATACTCTTGTTTTTCTTGTACACACGGCCACACATCAATCTATACAAAACCAGTTTATCCTGGCATCGCGTCGCATCATCTTTCCGCACATTTAACGTTCAGTTTATACTGGTTATATAAAACTCGACGTGTAGCCGTGTGTACAATCGTTTTATGCATGTGGTGTTTATCTTTAATACTAAAGTATGTATAGAGGTATGTTGCATGTGACCTAAAATTAGAACTAGTGTATACAAGTTTTGATGAACCAATAAATAAACAAAAAATAGTTAAAAAATGCATTCAAAATGCATTTGTACTAGTACTTTATATTCATTATACTGATCTGATTGAAAAGGAAATAAAATTAAGTGTTATTAAATGAAACTAATATTTTTGTTTGCCAACGCTTAATAAAATTATTAAGCATTCTACCGACTTCAAGGTCCTTTTTTTTAACGGTTAAATAATATACTAAAACCTTTTCCTAAGTAAAACAAACACTTTTCTGGAAACCGCATCATAATCGGTTCTTCTAATCGCGAGATAATTGGCACAAACATACATACATTTCAAACTGAGAGCTTATTTTTTTAAAGTCAGTTAAAAAGCCGCAAGGAGTTACTGGATGAAGACCTCCAGCTGGTCGACCTGGAAGAATTTGGAGACGAGTTCTAGCCACCGCAAGCAGCTTGCGGGCCATCAGACCACTACAGATAGGCTGATGTCAATACGGAGCCACGAAGAACGTAACTGCTTACCGTGGCTCCGGCTCGAAGTTTAGAAGTAAGAACGAGGTGGCTTTTAGTTAGTAAGAGTCTGACACTCTCTCTCGCCTCACCCGGGCGGGAGAAACCAACCGATGATTTTCCCCCTTTTAAGAAAGGTCAAACTGAGAACCTCCTGTTTTTAAAGTCGGTTAAGAAGCCGCAAGGACCTGCTGTATGCAAATCTCCAGTTGGTTGAACTGGAAGGATTTGGAATTATTGGAGAAAGTGATGCTCCGTAATAGACGTCTTGTAGCTGATGTGACGATGATTAGGATTTTCTCCTATGTCGTGGGTGCGTTCACAAACATACAAGTTCACATACACTCATGTGTATGTAAACTTGTATGTTTAACCGGTACAACAATCTGTTGATCACACAAAGAGTTCTTCCGTGCGGGAATCGAACCCGCGACACGTTGCGCGGCAGCAAGTTCTTCAACCACCGCTCTTACCGTGTAGTGCTGATCTAAAAAATTAGCTGATTATTGAACACCTATGCTGATATGATCTTTTAACGACCATACAAGATGATTAATACATTGTTAGACATTTATTAAGCATTTATAAAGGACACAAATGATAGAAATATATTACAAAAAACTTCCACAGTCCGTCCCTATTAAATTATGAACGTGGAAAAGTGTTGTTGTCCACGCCCTTCCTCTTTGCCTAGAGTGCTTTTTTAATCGTAATTATTGTTCATCAGTTTACATGACTTGGCATTAACAGGTGTAACGATTATTAGTCTGCCATTACAAATAAAAATGTCTCCAGTAAAGTGGTTGGAAAATATAATGTTTATTGAGAAATTATTTGGCATCCATAGGACGTTTCAAAACCAAAATAAGATCAAGCAATGCTTCATTGTTTTACAAATCATCGTCTTGTTATCAGTGCACACAATATGTTTCATTGATTATGTCCACCTTATGTTGGGAGGGCCGAAGATCAACCAGACCAATTACATTTATTGTAGCTTTGCTCTCTTCTCCTACTTTGGTGGTTTATTGACGTATTTTATTATAATATTCGACAGTGATGCTTTTAAATCCTACGTGGATAGTGTTAACTTTGCATTGGAGTTTTTTGGGAACGACCAGAAATTGATCAGGTTTTTGAAAAGAATGCACTGGTTTACTTGGATTATGTTACTTTTATCCACTGCTTTTGCTCTCATCAGAGTTAGGGAGGCAATGTTTGTGATGTCACATAATGATATGTTAGCTATGCTACCTGCTGTAGTATCTCAAGCTATTGTGAGAATGACATATTCATTCCAATACATACATTTCACAGTTTCTTCAATGATAGTGGTCAGTTTGTCCAAAAGTCTAAGTTCCATGTTATCTGCTACTCAGAAAAATGTAGGTCCTTTTGATTCTAATCAACGGTTGTCAACAAACTATGATATTAAAAAACTCATTGAACTGTATCGTCATTTGTTAAACTCTTGCCATAAGATTACAAAGTGTTTTGGAAGCCAGGTACTATAAACTAAAGATTTTAAAGTTATTAAATATTTTTTGACAAATCAAACTACGTTATGTGCGTTCTGTATATTTAAGGTTAATGTAATGTCCCTAGTTTCTGCCAGCGGATTTGACCGCGTTTCCATGTGTAGTAGCCTATCTGTTATTTCAAGCCATACCAACCTACCCCTGTTTTAAATTTTATTCCAATCTCTTCAGCTGTTTCGACGTGAAAGAGTAACAAATAAATAGACATAGAAACTTTCAAATTTATTATACATATTAGTAGGATAATTGACTTTTTTTTTATTGCAGTTTGTGCTACTGCTATTTTTATCAATATTTCGATACGTTTGGTTGATGTATCTATACCTGTATGACCGTAAATTCAATGTGAGTATAATACGAAGTATTTGTTAAACTCAACAACAACAGTTTAATATATGTATTTAATGAAACGTTTATGTCAGTTACTGTAGGTAATAGGATTTTCTTCCGTTGTGACTGTTTAAAAATAAATAAATACATTTATTACAGACAATGCAAGCATCCTATTATTGCCAAAGAACAATAGTTGTGATTGGTCATTTATCAGTTGCAATAATGCCATTAGTTGCTGGGCAGATGGTGACCAACCAAGGGTTGAAATTACGTCGGATTTTGGCACGACTTTTTAATACCTTAGTTAGTGGTAAGACTCGTTATGATTATTATCATCTTTCTACTGGTATTCAAAGTTATTTGGGTCCAATTAAATAAATTATCCTTGAAGAGAAGAATGGATTTCGTGTGGAGGTTAAACAAATCTCTTCTGGTATGTGACAAAACAACGTTTGATAGGAGAGAGTGGAAGAAGACATATTCATAAACATCAAGTAACTAGAGATAAAGACATGAAGACGATGATGATGATGCCTAAGTTTAATTTGAAATTGTGAACCATTAAGGAAACAGTATTAAAACTAATTTATTTGTTTTAGATCCAACTAGAGATGAAGCTAAGTTGGTAAAGGACTTCATACGATTAATCAAAAAGAATCCTTTGCATGTCAATTTGCTGGCAAATGTCTTTTCTGGGTTAACTGCACTGCCAATTATAATAGCGTTTTTCATTAATTATTTGATTATCTTGTTGCAATTTAATCATGTAGTGTAATTTCTTACTTTGAGATGTATAAATATAGAATTAGTTATCAGTGTACCCGTTCTTTTTATTACCAAACTACGAATAAAACGGTCCTTGATAAACCTCAACCATTTCAATTGCTATCTTTAACGCTAAGCTTAAGACTCAAGGAGCCATCAGACCATTACAGATGGGGCCCAATAGGGCTGATGCCGATACGGAGCCGTGGAAGACTTAACGGGTTGCCGTGACTCGAAGTGCAGGAGTAGGAACGGGGTGGTTTTTAGTCAATAAGAGAGACACTGCGTCTCGCCTCATCAAGTGAGAGAAGTCATTGGAATCATCCAATGACTTTGGAACATCAGTTCCCCATCAAAAAAAAAAAAAATGCTGAAGAATATGTAAAACTCTCTTTACATAGTCTTCAGAGAGGCCTTTAGCCTATTCTTCAAACTACGGCATTGGTATATCGTGGCTGATGGTGATGACATTTTTATCTTTCTCAGCTGATGTATTGATATCATCATTAATTTATTGTTCCTCATTCTCATACTTCTATCGTTCTTGTGTTTTACAAATTGTTCAATCATGTAATAACGAGTCGTTTATCGACGTAACTGTCAAAGGTACAGAATAAATAGTGTTAAAAGATGGATAACTCAATTACTTATCTACAAAGTTGTTTCAGACTTAAAGTTAAGTGACTGTTTCAATCATACTACGAACAGTCCTTCATCGTCGTCGCTTCGAACCCTAACAAAACATGAGATCTCTAAGCAACTTGTTGCACTTTTGCGAGATATTTGGCTGCGTTTTGGGTTTACACAGAAATTATTGTTCCCAGAAAACGGTCGCAAAATGTTTAATTTTTTTGCACGTCGTTATTTCCATTGTTTTCCATAATTTTGTCATGGTTAAGGATATACAACTTGTTTTAAAAGACAATGACTACAGTATTATTAATTTAATTTACTGTGCCTTTGCTGCCTCCGCTCAACTGACCTGTTTACCATTCTATTTGTACGCCATCTATTATAGCCCCGCTTTTATGTCCTACCTCCAAAGTATAGATCGCATCTCCAAACACTTTGAGAACAACGACAAATTGAAAAGGGTCACGAAAATGACTATCTGGCTTTTTTCAATAGTCATGATATTTTCTATTGTTTTAAGTGCATCGAGAACTTTGGTTACTGTAACAGAATTTACAGGTCGAGATTTGTATAGTACGGTAGCCATTTTGGCATCACAGATTATTTTACGAATGATTTTGATTCACGAATATCTTATGTTCTTTTTGACCATATTTTTGATTGTGAATTTCTCTAAATGTTTTTATTTATGGGTGCAAGATATTGAAGGTCGTATAAGAAACGAGGACATTACTTTGCTTGAACCGTGTGTAACAAAGGAGCTAATCATAAAATGGGTTGATGTTTATCAAGATTTGGCAAACAGCTGTGTGAAGTTGGCGTCGTGCTTTGGACGTCTGGTAATTTGTTTACATTTAGTGAGCTTATTGCTTTCTTTAAATTTTTTTGGTCGTCGTAACTACTTAATAACCGCAGAAATTTATGAAGCAAAGCAAAAGTACAGACTTGCTTCTTCTGTTCCAGTATTTGTATTCACTAACACTGCTACTATTCTTCTACCCCTTGCTAATATACAAGGAGTTTTGTATAAATCCTACGCAGGTAATTAACATGAATATTCATTTTTAATGTTGCTTGTAGAATTATTATGTAAGGTAGCTTTATTGACTGCACGGGTGACTGAAGAAGTTCCCACACGGAACAACAGTCTGTACAATCCACAAATTGTTGTTCCACGTCTGGGTGTCATGTGTATGTGAAATTGTTTGCTTGAAACCCACGACACACGATGCCTATTGTTTATTTTTTTTTTTTATTGCAGACTAAAACCATTAGTGACTTTAGAAGGCCATTTTTAATATTGTTGATTTATGTGAGTGTAATAATATTACCGTTAATTGCTGGACAAATGGTCACAAATCAAAGTTATACATTGCTTCGGATGGTAGCCCGGCTTCATAATACAATGCAGGGTATAAACAGTTTGTACTACTACAGTTGTTACTAAATATTTTACACAAGTAAAAAATAAAAGAGGTAGCTGGCCACGGCAACTTTAAAAGCAAATTGTTCTCATTTAAACTTATTGATTCACCATGGTGACAATATTCGACAGAGGAGTTGCGATACGAGCAGTCGGCCCATCACATACTCTGGGAGTGTGATCTCTGGCAATATGAATGTAACACTATGTTAAATAATTTAATTGTTTCGTCAGGTGTAGTTTATTATACGGATCTTGTGGAATCTAAAACGAATTTCCGTGCGTTTAGGCGTTTTTGTCATACCTATTGTTGGAAGCAAGTATAACAGCTCACACATAGGACCCACTTAGTTTTTAGTCAAATTTCCGTGGTGCTTGGCGACTGGGCTTCACCCAGTTGTACAGTCTCTTTTTTGTGCCTTTAGGCTTAATTCATTCTGTCTCCTGCAGTAATTCACCGAGGGAAGTGGAAACCATAGTTTTTTCTTCTTTTCCTCTTATAATATCTTCTGATTCACTTCGTTGCGGGAACCAAGAGAGTTACTCATGTCCCTGAGACGCGCCGGACTTCAGTGTTCTGGTGTTTTCATGGTTGTATCTACTGTAGATCCTGGCTTACAGGAGTTGCAGCAGTTTTGGGAGGCTGTGGCGGGCATGTCCCATTAAAAAAAATAAATAAATAAAAGAGGTTAGTCCTAAGAAGTTTAGTCGTAAGGCTAAGGACTCACAGCTCGATTTGCTCCAGCGCCCGCCGCGGTTGCTGGCCCGTAGTCTTTGTATACAGATATGTATTTAAAAATCAAAACAATTTTCAAGGCGCGATTTACGCCCGCGGCTTTTTGAAATTTGTGAGTTTTCACAATTCCGCCTCCATTCCACCATCGCGGCAGGCGCGGGAGAAGATTGCGCCGTGTGCCCGTAGCCTAAGAGAAAGTCAAACTCTTTTATAAATATGGTAAATGTCTCTTATGAATAGAAGGCTTGTTTCAACGGTAGATCGTCACAGGCTGTTAGTGATTAGAAAATAAATGTTTAAGTATTTATTTTATTAATTGCCAGGATCAAATGAAACAGAAGTAAAAGCGATGAAGGACTTTATTCGATTGATAAAGAAGCACCCACTGGAAGTCAAGTTATTTTCAAAGATTTCATCCGGAACCTCTTTGGTGCCAGCTGTATTGATGTTGTCTGTAAACTATCTCATTGTTTTGTTGCAATTTAATCATGTAATTTAACATAAATTATTGTTATTACAACGCTTTTTAACTTAGATTTGTTTGATTTTTATTTGTTTGAAAACCATTCATTTATCTAGACGTATTCAATTTTCTATCGGAATGTTGTCCATTAACTTGCCTTTTAATTTAAATAAATTTTATATATAGGAAATATCTAAATAATTTGTGCTACAATACAAATGCTGTATTTACATATCTACATAAATAAAAGTAAATAAAATGAGGCTATCTCGTTCTTGTCGTTAAGCCAGGAGAAATAATATTTAACCGTCCAAATTGCCTTGTATTCGTCTAATTCGAATAAATATTTTTTTTTTACTTTGATCGTTTATACTAGTAATTTGGTTAGAGAAAGCTCAACTACTTACAAATGCATGCGCTACATACAACACTACGCAACAAAAATACAAGTGACAATCGATTTGAAAGCAGTTTTCGTATATATGAAACTAATTTTGAAATACTGGACCCAGATTACCTCCTTGAGGTACTCCAAATATTATTGGATGGTTAAACATAATTAAAGGTATTTCATCTATAAAATAGATCTATATTTTTAAACAACTATTAGAAATAGTATAATGCCAACCCTATTAATTGAAAACCACAGTATGATCATAGTATTATTATTATATCTGAAAATGATATCGTTGAAGGTAATTTAAATAATGAAGTGGCTTAGTGTAGCTGCACTATTACAATGATGAGTATGATCAATTACTTTAAAAAGTATGCTTAGGAGAAGTGTTCACATGAATACTATTACTTTAACGTTATATACGATAAAGGTAACAGTATCACCAAATATGACGTCAAGAACTATGTTGAAGTACCTTTTGAATATAAACGTCTTACTTGCAGTCCACCGGAATTACTGCACTCGGAGCAAGATTCAGAAATACTTTATCGTTTTACATGTATTGGTTTCTTTAAGTGTGCACACATTAGTAGTTTTCGAAGAGGTCTACTTAGCGTGGACGAGAAAAACGGCTGGAGTGCTAATTTACTGTGTCTTTTCGATGTCAGCTTATTTCGTAATAGCTCCATGTTATATTACTGCTATCTATAGAAGTCATACCTTCGTATCATTTCTGAAAAGTATTAATCGCGTGGCTGATTGCCTCAAAGATGATCGAAAGACTGTGAAACCTATAAATGTAACGTACTGGTTTACTGTCATTATAACGATTGTTACTGTTGCATTTGCCATCCTAAAAACTTTAGACCTCACGATGGTAGTCGCTCAACAAGGCAGATCTTTTGTAATTTTTTTAATGATGTCTCAAGTTATGCTGAGAACAACTATCGGATTTCAATATATAACGTTCTTTGTGGCCATAACGATAGTTGTCAAATACATGAAGAGGTTGACGGACTTAATAACAAGAGTTCAGGAAAGTGTGCAATGCAGTGATGTGGATTTGAATGACAAAAATATTATCAAAAAGGAGATAATTCATGAATGGGTTCAAATGTATTTGGATTTAGCTAATAGCTGCGAGAAGGTGTCACTATGCTTTGGACGTCAGGTAACTTGCAAGCTGACGAAGATGATGTTGCTACAAAGTGCGTAGATATTTAATGATATTTGTTTTGTTGCAGTACTTTTATTCGCTGTATATGTTCCTGTGCTACTACATAATGTTTGCATATCAATTATGTTGTGTGAGACCTAACGTAAGTAGATAAAAATATGTTTTAGAGTAAAATAACAAGTAAGCATTAACAGATCTTTAATTAGTTCCATATTGCAGGCAGATAGAACTGACTATAAACAAGTTTTACTGTTTATTTTGAACTACACGTTGGGTCTTATAATGCCATTAATTGGCGGGCAGATGGCAATAAATCAAGGAACGAAGACCTATCGAGCTGTAACTCGGTTATACAATGCAATTGTAGGTAAGTTTTAACAAACCTGTTTTCAAAGTCACTATAAATTGGATACTTGCAAAGGAATTAAGTGTTTATCGATTGTGGTTAGATGTGTGTGAGTGTGAGTGGTAGATGGAGACTCAAAGTACCGTTGTTTAAGATTTTTTAATACAACCAATGACACAACACCACTTACACCTTATGAACCAATGACAGAGATAATACCAAAACGAAATATATTTCTTTAGTTTCAGATTCATTTGAAATTGAAGCCAAGTCAACGAAAGATTTTATTCGTTTGATCAAGAAGCATCCTATTCAGATCAAAATGTTGTCTAAGGTTCCAACTGGGACGTACATATTGCCTGTGATATTAACATTGGCGGTCAACTACCTCATCATTTTGTTGCAGTTTAATCATGTCATTTAATTTTACAAGCTCATTTAACTTGCAATGTATCTGTGTGATGTATGTGTGTGAAGTAGATCCTAAATTACTAAATTTTGAAGCGGATATCTTCAACCAATTGAGCTGAAATTTTGTATACACGGTTAGTATACATGACCATAAATGCTAAGCTGTTGCTATTAATATTACCCAATTCAAGTGATGTTAAAGCTTGTTGAGAGATTTAGGTGTACGAGGTACTAAAGTTATCTTCTAGTATCAGATTTATGAACCATTAATTCCCAAATATCTGTGGTGTTTTCTACATCCATGTGTTCATTATCTTTGTTCTGTAAGTCTAGTAATGTTTTCTACCTCTATTATTAAAAGTTTCGAAATCTAAAACTGACTTATGATTTTCTTCTTTTTATATCTATTTTTTAAATTATTTTAGGTACACCGTTTGTCAACGCTTGTTTATAATCATGTTGAATGTATTCATTTATTTCTTTGTCTATACTTAGTTCAAGGTCATAAGAGTTATGTTTGTATTTAGAACTTTCTTAATTATGAGTAAAATGTCCATAATTAAAAACCTAAAATTTAAAAACTATCATCATAAATTGTTATATAATTATCTTTACGTTCTTTTGGGACATATAATGATTTCCAAATATGTAGTTATTAAGTTTTAGCATTTTAAATCCTAAGAAGATTCTTCTTATAATTATAAAGATAGCGCCATGGTTTTTCCTTAAACTACATAAAACATTGATCATTTCAAAGATAAGTTTAATGAACAACATTTCTTTATCTCATTGTATCAATATTGACTCATTATTTGTATTACAAGCGTTATAAAGTAAAACAATTAGTTTTTGACGCTAAGACAATATTATTGAAATATTGACACACCATACAAATTAATAATTTGTAATCATTAGGGACTATGTCGTTGTAAGAGATACATGAAAAATGGCTCCAATAACATTACTTAGAAATTTACTCATCTTTGAAAAATTTTCAGGCGTATACAGAGATTTTAGTGTCCTTAACAAAACCAGGCAATATTTTGTATCATTTCATGTGTTTTCTTTAATTATTTTACATAGTGGAGTATTGTTATATAAATTATACATGTTTGTATTAACTGGTGGGCTTAGTGCTACAACTTTCATATATTGTGGATTCTCTATAACGTCTTATTTACACTCGGTTTCCTGCATGCTATCGGCTATCTACTGCAGTTATGCTTTTATGTCCTATTACAAAAGTATCAACACCTTCTTCGATCTATTTAAAGATGATTCCATTTTAAACGTATCCATTAAAAAGGCCTACTGGTTCACCTTCATGTACATTGTTCTTGTAATTGGATATATTTTGTATAGATCCTTCGAAATCAACTTTACTTTCACAAATCTGAGTATGTTTATTTTCTATCCCAGTTTGGCCTCACAATTTGTTTTAAGAATGAGTATTATATTGCAGCAGGTTATCATGACTTATGTCATTTTAATTGTGTTTTATTGTTCGAATTGTTTTTACTCAAGAATTTTGGAAGTTCTGAATAGACTTGGGGTTTGTGAGATTAATTCTGGGGAGCGATTTGTAACAAGAGAGCAAATTGAGAGATGGGTTGAATTGTATAGGAATTTGGTAAATTGCTGTGAGAGGGTTACTCCGTGCTTTGGATGGCAGGTACTGAATTTAGGTACCCAGACAAGTGCCAACTATTCAGATTTCACTTCTATACTAATTGGTGTTTGAATTTCATTTGGATCAGATATTGGATAATTTTCAATGATTGTGTGTAAATAAGCGTTGAAGCTTTTGTGCACTCTAGGTGCTTTAATGTTGTTGGTATATCTAAGTTTCTGTAATTGTATACTATAGATTTTTTATTTTATATTTCAGTTCCTATTTACGTTGATAATGACAGTTGTAAACCATATGATAGCGTCATACCAAATTTGTTATATTCTCATCACAAAAGTAAGTACCTACATTATGTATTTATAAGGAACTAGCTTATGCCAGCGGCTTCACCCGCGTGTATTCCCGTAGAATAAAGTAGCCTATGTTAACACATATAGAGTTTGGAATAACTTCCAGACCATAGTCTACCCCTTTTCCAATCATACTGATCCCATAACCCATTTTGACGTGACGGAGTAATTTACCCCAATAAAATACTTAAATAAAATTTCAGGGCAGCTACCAAGAATTTAAATCTATGTTATTTATTACGATTAGCTACATAACTTTGACGATCATGCCAATCTTGGCTGGACATAAGATGTACAGGCAAGGAGTAAGGTTTCAAAGAGTACTGGCTAGACTTTATAACTCAGTTGTTGTACTTGGTAAGCATACATCTCCTTTTTCATTCGAACAAATAGGAATAAGTACAAAAGAGATAACCAAGAATTTCTTATCAACCTTAGATGCATTAACTATTTTGTTTTTCGGGTTACTCATGTAATTATTTGACTTTCGACTAGTTTAATGTGTTGCAAGAGTTCATAGGCCACGGTAATCACTTACCATCGGGTAGGTCGTATGTTTTCTTGCCACTATAAAACTTGGGTATAAAAAAATTAAAAAGTTTCAAGCGGCGACTGCCGCGCTGCCGCTGCTTCAGTAGCAGCGCAACAGTCGCCGGTCGCAGATCGCGGAATGCTGCTCATGAATGCTAGCCTCTAGCATGAATTGCAACTAGTTAAGTTCCTCG